ATAGTGTGACTGTGGCCGCCCCATACTGAGCACTTGAAAGAGGAGTTAATAGATTCACCTGCACTGAATTAGCACTAATGAAAAAATGATGAGCAAACTGGCTGTGCTACATGTAATAACCCAAATAAGACATTGATAAGCCAAATATTCCTTAACCTCCCTTTTAAGAAAAGAAACTGTGCTACATCTTCCACTTAGTGATGTCTATGGCTATAAATAATTACTGTAAATATAAAGGTTTATTTCACATTGTACAAAACGGGCTAGTGCGTAATTAATTTCTATATCTTAGTTATGTATTCATTTCAATACTTGTACTATGATACCAGCATATGATCAATGCTGTGAGCAGTTGACTTGGCATTAAGATGTATATACCTAGCTTATGATTATGAAATACTGGATATGTAGGTGTAAAAATGCTGTATTTATGTGTAATTTTGGTGCTATTTATCTATGCAAATTTTTTCTGTGTTATTGCCATTACTTTATTTCCATACATTTTCACCAGATCAGTCTGGTGTAGAAAGTATGAATAAAGCATGTAAAATATCATATTCTGGTTCCACAAGGTGCTGTAATAGGATCACTGACTGACCCTGGCAGTAAGAAAGAGAAGGTAGCATCTGATTTATATTAATATTCAATTAGAAAGTAATTAGGACTATATCACAGTTCCTTACTGAACCTACTGCTGGTCTGTCACTGGTGCCCTGTAGACTTCCACAGCTGAGGGAGGAAACAGGGCGCTGTGCTGAAGGCTCGCTCTGCCGAGGGTTCGCTGTGCCGACAAATCCATATTTCCTGAAAAAAATGATATTTGGATGGGTATTTTTCTGCTCTTTTTCTGTGCTATACATAAAAAACCCTCAGTTGTTTTCAGCAACTCATTTAAAGAAGTTAATCTACTTGCTATGTTGGACCACTAAATTCACACATTCTGAAAAAACTACTGGTCAGCGTGAAATTTCGCTGGTGGAGAGTGTTGGATCAGTGGTTTACGTCGCAGACTTGCCATACATTACTTTGCTACATTAAGTTTTTTCCTCAAAGAATTGTTTTGTATAAACTGTTGTCATCATTTGCCAGTCACAAGTGAGACTATTCAACTCCTTGTAATTCATGGGATCTAAATATTATACCTAATTGACTTTTTACTATTGTATCCATATATTCATGTGCTTTACTTCAGTTTGTTCTCATGTAATAACTTTCTGAAAGTGCTTCTGAAGAGATATTTTCTCTTTCTTTAAAAGCTGTTTGCATTAAACACTGCAGGTGGCATGTTAAGAGGTTTTAGGTTGCTAAATGTTTGTAGACGTCAGAACCAGAGTTCCAGAGTTGACCTGTGTACCCTGCACCAGAGCAGTTAGTTCTCTGCAGGGGTACTGTGCCCTGGTTTGTTTCTACATTCCCATGTGAGAAACATACTTTTTGCACCATGGGGCAGGCAGGCGGGAGGGAGTGGGGGGGGGGGCATTAGGCCAGCTTGCATTTCTAAACCTTTTTTGTTAAACATTGAATGATACAAAATAAAGAATAGTTCAAATAAGTGTATAGTGAGCCAGATTCATTAAAGATTAAATTTTACAAAGATGAAGCTATCACTATGGGGCCAGGGCTTCCATCCCTCTGCAGCTCTTCCCAGACAGGATCAGTTTATGAAACTTTTACAGCAAGAAGCATTCTTTTTGCAAAAGTAAATGACCAACGAGTCAAATCAAATATAATTTTGAAGGATACCTTTCATTTTGTGAAACTGGTTAATAACTTGCCTGTACTTTGTACTTAGAGAACTGTTGTGTTAGTAAGTCATAAGCTTGGCAGATTCTGTGATGATATATCATAAAACTTTTTACTTCCAGAACCATGTAGTGTGCGTGGAGGAGAGACAGCCAAGATGTAGCCAGGGACCAAACACCCCTTATCACTGAACATTCCGTCCTAGAGGGTAACCATGCCTGCTCAAGAGAAGAGAACACAGCAGACACAGGACCCTGAACAGTATGTAGACACCTCTCTCTATATGTACACACGCACGCACGCGCGCGCACACACACACACACACACACACACATAAACAGGACCCTGAACAGTACGTAGACACCTCTCTCTATATGAACACACACACACGCATGCATGCACGCACGCACGCACACGCACACACACATACACACACGTACACAGGACCCTGAACAGTACGTAGACACCTCTCTAAACGCCTACACACACACGGGATCCTGAGCAGTATGTAGACACCTCTCTCTAACACATGCACACACCACATCTCCTTTGGCAAAATTCATTAGCCAAGAGTCATGTAACAATGTTGTTATTCTGGGTTGACATTGAATACTGAAAAACCTGCTCAGGTTAGTAGTATATTAAAAGGGAGTGCAAGTGAAAAAATAAAAAACCTGCTACTAGTAAACTGTCTCAGTATCACCAACTCTCTGATGAACCACACTCTTAAAGATGTGATAGCACATCACTAGTATTGTTGTGGGTAATGCCTCTCCCTGTGTATTGCCTACATTAAGGAACATTACTGCCCTGATAACAGCCTTAATTAACACCTGAGGGTTTATGCAGGTTCTTGAACACAGCAGGCAGGCAAATAGGATCTACCTGGAAAATTGCCATTCCCCCCTAGTGTTGTTAATATGAATTAATCAGCAAAGCAATAACTGTGCAATGAATAAATGTGCCTTTGTTAATATCTTGAATTTCCCCTTTAGGTAAGATGCGGGTGTGTGTGTGGCATTTACCCATTCATAACTGTATAAATCTATAGCAATGATTAATTCTACCCTGACAGTTAGTGTAGGTAGAATGCCTTGACAGCCAGCTTAGTGAATGTGTAAACCAGGTATACATTCAGAATTCTATTCCTCTACTAGTGCATGAAAGTGCATGCTTTATTTGTGCACTCACTGAGGGCATATCTTGGAAGGCTTATGAGCATTCACTCACTGCCTGTACAAATTGTTGCAAAGACAAAAAAAGCTTTTAAATCCTACAGCTACAGGACATTCTCCATATCAGCCCCTGCTCTTTGTAATAAGCTACCTTAACATATTAGAACAGAAACAAGTGCTGCCATCTTCTTAAAAGATCAATATCAATTTTATTTCTAAATTACTTCAACTTAATTTTACATATTACTTCTCATAAAATTCAGCTTCCACATTGTTTTAGCTTTTGTCTTAATATTCTATCACCATTTACATTATTGATCTTGTATTGTTACGATCACTGTGTCTTAATCGTGCAGATATTTATGTATGAGTAATTTTAAAAACATTTACCCAAAGTGCTATCTCTCCATCACAGGGTGTGTAGTGCCGACCATGGGGTCCATATCTATCTTCATGGCTTGTGGTTGCCTTCTGCATGTTTACCAGATAAATATATTAGTAACCCATTCACACTGGCAATTTTAACCGTGGTTAAGGCCTGCTCTCAGTCCTATCAGGGTTAGTTTTTCTGATGTGAATGGACTACGAGGGAGAGACGGGAAGGACAAGAAGGCATCTGACTTCAACAAAAGTTTATTCTGAAGTGGCTGGCTTATGTATATACATTTATTATACAAAGTATTTATATAATAGCACTTGCTTGTGTCTCGTAACTAAGGCATATAACAAAAAAATAAGTACATACAAAGGTACAAAGTAAATTTAATATTTTGTACCGCACAACAGCCACTGCAAACTGTGAACTCCTGCTATTTTGATCAAATTACTTTATAACTAGAACAATATAGCACATGCCAAACAAGAAGTTGGTGAAAGGCTGGAGCTGCTGGTATCAGTGGAAACGCAAAGAAACCGTGATTCATTCAGAGTTCACTGGACTGTGGTTTACTTGCTAGTGTGAATAGCCCTTAGTTCCAGCTGAGACTGATTACTGAGCATATTTCCTGGTCTTATCTCTTTTATGGTTTTCACTGGGTTTTTTTTCACAGTGGGATACATTTGTCTGATGAAGAAAAATACACTAATGAAAACACAATTCAGTCCTATATTTTAACACACCATATATATATATATATATATATATATATATATATATATATATATATATATATATATATATATATTTTGTATTATTGCTATTTATCTCTACAGTTCACCAGCTATATATTTAAAAGAAGTGAGTCAGGAGTCCAACAGTGAAATAAGTTTTGAATATGAATTAGGATGTGATGTAAGACAGACCCATTTTGTAAAATTTCCTGATTTTCTTTTTTCACATTTGACTGTCTTTTCATTAATGACATATTGTTTACAATTTCAGAGAAGCCAAAGAACTCTGCCGCCTACTGTCTCTAATCAACACTCCTGCCAGCAAACAGCAGGTGAGTGCAGCCCAGGTGACCCAAGACACAGTGCTGTCTTAGCTGGCTGTCTCTGATCACGTATTGACAGGGAGAATTGATAGTGTAGGAATATTCATACACATACTGGCCTTGTAATGGAATTAAATCATTGGAATAAGGCACAAGTTTCAAGTGCTTAGAATTCATTAGATATAGGTTTCACTTGTTTGAATTCATGAGATACAAGTTTCACATGTTAGAATTCATTAGATACACTACCAGGTTTCACATGTTAGAATTCATTAGATGCGGGATTTATATGTTCTAACATAACATAACGTGTTTCACTTGTTTGAATTCATTAGAATATTGGCCTTTTTGATCCCCTACTTAGATAATATCTGGTATCTTGGGATTTTGGTACATTTCAATGCTGAGAGATCCTGGTAATTTCTCTCTGTTGTGTGGTTCCCACCTGTGATCAGTATTACCCTCTGTGTGCAGCAACTCCATTGAACTCCATTGTTTTATCAGAGTAGTGCAGTTTGAATGTTTAATTCAAGGTAAGGTCTAGTCACATACTGACTATACAATAAAAAAACAACAACTTTTTTTCTTCTCATGCAAATAAACCCTCAACCATTGCACCTTAAGTGTCTAGTTGTCATTGAAGTTAGTATACAATTGGACTGTTTATAGGGGTTTCATATAATGGGAGTGTTGTTTTGTTGAGAAGGCATCAACCTTGGCCCAACAATGTCAGTGCAGAGACGACACCTGAAAATTGACACTTGTTTACAGCTAGGACATATATTGCGTTTGTATGTCCTAGTTAACAGACAGAGCACTGGAGCAGAGAGGGTTGGTTGCCTAGCGACATAGAGACAACATATCTGAAAAACACACTGGCGTCTCTTGATATGACCAGATAGAAATAAATAATGGAACTGAGACCAGCTGAGAAAAAGACTTCCAGTGGGTAAGGGTTGACATCAAGTGTCTAGAGCTGGCCCTGGGACAGTCTAGCATTCTGTGGATTATAGGCCCTGGGGCAGTCTAGCATTCTGTGGATTATTGACCTTGGAACAACCTGGCATTTTGTGAATTATTGGCCTTTGGACAGCCTGGCATTCTGTGGATTATTGGCCTTGGAACATCCTGGCATTCTGTGAATTATTGGCCTTGGGACAGCCTGGCATTCTGTGAATTATTGGCCTTGGGACAGCCTGGCATTCTGTGGATTATTGGCCTTGGGACAGCCTGGCATTCTGTGGATTATAGGCCCTGGGATAGCCTGGTATTCTGTGGATTATTGACCCTGGGATAGCCTGGCATTCTGTGGATTATTGATTGGGAATTGAGTACACATCTGTCTTGTTTCAATAGCAGGGTTTTCTGTTAGTTTTAACTCTCTAGTTTTATGTTTGGGGAGACTGTCCAGTGCATCAAAGTCTTTATATGTATGTAATTAGCTATGGATCTGGGTAATATGACAGCTGACTGGATTTGAGAGTATCTTGGTTGTTTCATACAAGTGTTATTATAATTGAAAAAATGAAGTGATCACCTGATATTGGATGTTTAACCCTTTAGCTGCCAGCACAGAAAGCAGCAGTGATCTAGACTGTCAGTGTTGATGTAGTGTGCACTGTGCACCATGGTGAAGGTATACAGTATATATACTACACTCTTCTCTAATATGGGGTGTGGTAGTATTTTGATTTTGTTTTAATTGTTTTCTTTTTTAAGTTTTTTCACAATTAAAGCAACTTTCCCTCTCTGTGGTCATCCTTAGGTCAGGCTTGTAAGCAATATTTTCCAATCATTCTTTTTTATTCAGTTTGAAGTCGGGTATTTGTTGATCACTCATATATGACTAATTCTTGATCATATTTGATTGGCAGAAAAAGAAAAACTCATCACTAATGTATCTTATCTACTTTATCCTAATCCTGAGCTTTCCATTCTAGCTTCCGTCCATAGATTTTGAAGGTGCTAACTCCTGCCAGTCACTGCAATGGCCAGTGCCTCAGCCCCGGGGTGGGGCTCATCAACACCAGTCTACAGAGGCACTGGCCCTGGAACAGTTCAGGTAAGTCCACTATATCAAAAGTCTACAGAGGCACTGGCCCTGGAACAGTTCAGGTAAGTCCACTATATCAAAGTCTACAGAGGCACTGGCCCTGGAGCAGTTCAGGTAAGTCCACTATATCAAAAGTCTACAGAGGCACTGGCCCTGGAGCAGTTCAGGTAAGTCCACTATATCAAAAGTCTACAGAGGCACTGGCCCTGGAGCAGTTCAGGTAAGTCCATACTTTTGTACAGTGTACAACCAACATGTTCAGGTGAACTAGTGGAAGTTCTCTGTAGACAATTTACTACTACTAGTATGTACAAACCAACATGTTCGGATAAACTACTGCAAGAACACTGTAGATAAATTACTACTTTGTACAAACCAACATGTTCAGGTAAAGTACTGCTTTTTAGGCAACTTACCACTATGTAAAGTTTGTACAGAATCAAAATATTTGTGTAACATTCATCTTATCAGGTCATTGTTTCATTCTTTTTAGTATGAGATACCAAAATGAGCGACATTACAACAAACATCCTCAACACAAGTATTTCTCTGAGACTTTCTCAGCTCTAGTGAAACAGAGGCTTATGAACAAGTAAGTGATCATCTTGACAAACTTTTACTCTTATTTCTTCAATGTCATCATTCTGTTAGTGAAATCATAGCACAATATTTCATATAAGTGATAAGACGCTATCTGATTTGTTGCATGATTGTTTCAAGTTCTTTAAAATGGTCCAATATCACTCCTGCTAACTATTTTTAGTGCTAAAACATGAGCACAAATGGATATAATCATGATCACAGTCTTGCTCCGAACAATGGCCATTATTAAATTATATTGACTTTGTTAGTGACATTTTAATTGATCTTGTGACCCAAGCATACATTGAGTTTCACAAAAAGGCACACTTATTAACTTTCCATTCTTGAGTGTGACCAAAAGGCACAATGGACATTCAACCTAGGGAGATCCCTGTGACTATAAAAAATATTTGCACTCCTACTATAACCCTTAAAATAAGATTATGCACAATGTTAAACGTGTCAATAACCATTGCCTGGTGAGTTAAATTAAGAAAAACAACTAGATGTAGGTTTCAGAGTACCTACCTACACACACACACACACACACACACACACACACACACACACACACACACACACACACGACATGTGCTGACTAAAGCTCTGTATAATGTATTCTGCAACCATGTCAGAATCTGCTGTTGTTCATCTTTGTCTTTGCAAATTGAAAATTTACAACCAAATAGTAATAACTGGTCTGTTTCATTTGCATGTGAAATTAAGTGACCTAATATTTGACAGTAACTTCAAGAACTTCTTATTGATGAGAAAATAATTGGCTTGTTCATATATATATGTGACCTATTGTAAGCCTGCATAAACTGCTGTGTAATAGCTACCTGTCTGTGGACATCAGTCTAGTTCTGTTCTAGGGATAATAGGACATGCCATGTACAGATATGATGGATAGCACCAAATATTGGTTATTGATGGTTGGTTATTTTCCCCAAGTTTCAGGCTCATTGCAGGGTAGACAATAACTCTAGGCATTAATGAACACATCTCTCCCCCTATCCCTCCCTCATCCTGTGTGATGTCTTAAAGAAGGGTATATACCTGATTCATACTGTTCTTCCATGTGTGTGCATTTGAAACATATCTTCTCCAAGCTGTTCCTACATCACTGGTCCATGCCTTCTTGGCACAGAGAACAGCTGAAAACAAAGCAAGGAAACACATCTGCACAATACCCTCACACTGGGACTGTGGGCATGCTTTGACATTGGGTTGCAAATAGAAGACATAAGGAATGATATTTATTTGATATATATTATTTTCAAATTATCTGTGACACTGTGACCAACATTGAGTAAAAGGAAGTTGCATATGATGGTTGAGTGAATGTTTTCACTGGATGTGCAGTCATCTGGTAGAATTAGAATCAGGATTATAAATCTGTCAAATTCTAGAACTTGAGTGAACGACCTAAGGTCCAGAATTTGATTGATATAAATATATATATTTTATATCCCTGGTGCATATAAAGAAAATAAAGTACATTTCTAAACACATAAGAAACCATTGATTATCTCTCCATGTGATAGCCAGTGGTTGCAAGTGTAGCTACATGTAGCTGGAGATGGTGAGGTTAGTTACAGCTAAAATGATGTCTGTTTGCTTTCAGTGAGTGGAGTGGCCATGCTCCACCAGAAAACATCCTCAGGGTTCTCATGTGCCTGCGGATTATGATGCGTGATGGCACGTACCAGAAAGTATTCTTTGATCTGGGAGCTGTCAAAGTACTGTCTGAAGTAAGGCTGCTTATGTTTTACTAAAAATGTATACTTGGTTTATGTGGTCTGGTATTCTTATCATTTGTACAAAATGAAATAAAACATAGAATCTTAGTGAAGTATGGTATTCAGTGTTGGCGTGAAAATATATTTGGTTGACCAAAATCAAAAGTTGCATAATAGATCAAAATGAAAGTTGTCATAGTGGTGTTTAGATATGATATCCAGATAGCATATTATCAGATGATCCTAATCCACACTTACTGGATTCAGTAGATAGATGATAATCTAATGTCAGTGGTTTACATTGTTGCTTACCAAAGAGTTTTGTGTTTGGAAGTGTGGAGTAACTTAGCTCCAGATTGTGATGTGGATAACTAACCATCAGTACCCTCATAAATATGCTAAACATTATTGTTAACAGGCACACAGAGACATGCAGTTTTGAAGCATAAGAATCCAGTAGTAAGTTCATAGTTGATTACATTTCTCTGATTTCAGCGTCTCCAAAAGGCCACAGACAGCTACCTGACGTATGGGGATGGTCCATTTGTAGTGGACATTCTCAAAGAAATGACCAGTAAGTAGCTCTTTGCTTGTTTTGTGAAGGTTTTTTATTGACTGAATCTTCCAGAATACTAAGCTCTGGTCAAGATTGTCACATGACATTTATACGGTAATGTGCCAAGCATTTCGACGGGCCCAGTCAATCCGACCATAAAAATTATTTTATAAAATTAATTTTTCTGGGCTCAAACATTTAGTCCATACGTCAAAATCATGCGACAGAATTTTTTTCTTGTTCCGATTGTTCGACCACATCGTCGGCAAGACTCGGTAAATTTTCAAGCCAGTCATATAGATGCTGCATGCCGGGCCCTTTGTCAATTGTTGTCCTTTCAATAGCTCTCGTCAATGAGGAAGAAACTATTAATTGAAGATCTAATCTGGAAGCATGACGTACCTGTCATTTCCTTTGTCCCAGATGACAAAATAGTGTTATAGACATACAATTTGTGCTAATTAAGCAGACTTGCCCTCGCTGACTGATTCATCACGCCCGTA